TTCAGGCTAATGACTCTGACGTAGAAGATATAGTTTACAAGCAATGGGCTTATGATGGCCATAAGAAACTGTAACGATGGCGAATACTGTAGCAGAATTCAGTAAGAGGAATCTGCAAAGCAGCAGATGAAGCAACAAGCATCATTACATCACAAGCTTCATGTATGAAGATGAAAGAAATTATTCTACAAGTCACTGTAGTTGTTAGTTTATTTGATTTCTTAGAGCCTTTTTCATTTCTATCTCAAGATACCATGTAAGTACTCACTGGAAAACTGATAAGGTCACTCTTTTTTATATTTTATTATTGCACATCAGGACAAGAAAATAGCACGAAAGAAGCGAGTGCAAGTTTCTGTGTCGTCATAACGTTCTTGAGGATACAGCAACTACAGTCCACTCTTTCTTAAGCTGCATCACGCGTCACCTGGTTTATGATGTTCTATCACATTTAAAGAAGGTATATTATTTTTGTGATGCTGCATGTTCAGAGAATAAGGGCTGTTTTTAGGCAGGCAGACAACTCGACTTTACCTTTCCTTAGACCCAAACTTGTTCCTCAGTCCCCTAGAAAAATTCCAGGTTGACTGAATATAATTAGTATCACGAGCTTCATTTTCTTATTTCTTCATTGGCGAAGTAGTGTTGACTGGTACTTTAAAATAGGCCACAGCCTATTTCTCTGATATCACTCCCTATCCATCCTTTGAGTTCATCTTATCATATCCCACTGAACGACATATAACTTTAGTGTCGTAATATAATCCAATAATGAGCTACCAGTTTGATTTCGGAGCTCTAGAACTGAACAAATTCAAGTATTTGACTATGACTGTTACTATAGTTACTATAGTTACTATAGTACTATAGTTAGTTACTATAGTAACTAAAGTTACTATGACTCTCCAGACACTTGAATTACAGATAAACTGTCTAGACACCGCACCATTAAGGCGTGAGGTGGCCTGGAAGGATCGCATCACGCATTAATGATCTAAGCATTAGATAGAGCTGAATGATCAGCTTCACGCTCCGGCCACTTCAAGTCTGTGAAGGAAACCGGGACCCATTCAGTGGAAGGCTGCATACTAGGAAAGAGAATAATTCCTTCCCCTGCTAAGAACTGTACCGGGGTCATTCATGCTATAGCCAGTCATTTGTAATATGCTGATACTTTTGGAAAACTTAGTCTGTCGCTTGGGGAAGAACAAAAATTCGAAATGTCTGAGAATAAAGTCAGAATGAGATTACTCGGACACAAGAAAGAGGGCGGAAGATAGGGCTGGGATGTTTACGTACAATAAAGTTAATAGGGAGCTTTACAATTGTACTTAACCAGTATCATTGGCGTGGCTGCACGACATGAATGGGGCTTCTAGCACATGCAGAGGGAAATGTTTTGATTAGACGACTTCTACATAAAGAAAACCGGACATATACGGGACTACTATTGAAACATGATGGTCTGAAGATGTGAACTTCATTGGAGTGACTTCTGATACAGCGAATGGAGGTCTTCTGTGACGGTGGACATAACCAGGAACGTCTCTTACTATGAGTATTACCATGGACTCATGGACTTTATTTATCTTCTTACATTCTAAAACCTAGAGAACCTGTTTCGCTTGTTATATTATCAGACGATGAATAAAGTCCAGGAAACAATAATACCAAGTATAATACATATTGTCAAGGATTTAGAACAGGAATTTCTTGATCACTTGCAAAACTGTGTTACGGTAAAGAATACACGGAGCAGGTGGAGAATTCTTGGAGGTACACGTAGTTAGAATGGAGCTGGTGACGGTAGCCGAGCGGTCTAAGGCATGTACTGTCTTCGCTCGCTCGGAAGTCGGGATCGTGGGTTCGAAATCCCACTCAGGGATTGGATGTTCAGTTTTTGTGTGTGTGTGTTTGCGCACGTTTTTCTGTGTTTGTGTACAGGTGAGGCCTTGCGACGAGGTGATCACCCGCCCAAGGAGGCCTACCGAATCTACAAAGCGTCTCAGTGTCTACCTGAGTACAGTTATTCAGATGCCGGTTGTTATAACTGGTCAAGCTGCGACTGTAACAAACGTGTCTCAGTGTTTTAGCGGTGTACTACAGAATGACTGTTGAGATATTCTCTTGTCATTTGAGAAAAAAAGGGCCATATTAGGCATTTTTGCCGCGTTTGTTTTTATACGAAACCTTTCCTGAAAAGATTTCCTTTGGAAGGTAGCACCTTTATTCTATCAAGCAAAAATGTGGCTGTCTCTTTATAAAATCTGCAAGTTATTAAGTTCAGGTGTTTTTGAAGACATGTCTTTTCATAATATCTTTTTGAAATTTATATGGTTTTTATGCTAGTCTGCTATTAATTCCCATAGACTGAAGGTGGTTGATAACAGTGTGCTGAAGAGAGTATTTGGACCCAAGAGAGATGAAGTGACAGGAGGTTGGAGGAAACTGCATAATGAGTAGCTTCATAACTTGTACTCTTCTTCAAGTATAATTAGAATGATCAAGTCAAGGAGGATGAGGTGGGCAGGGCATGTAGCATGAATGGTGGAAGAGGAATGCATATAGGGTATTGGTGGGAAAGCCAGAAGGAAAGAGACCACTGGGAAGACCAAGGAGTATGTGGATGGACAATATTAAAATGAATCTTAGAGAGATAGGATAGGATGGTATGGATTGAATTGATCTGGCTCAGGACAGGGACCAGTGGAGGGCTCTTGTGAACACATTAATGAACTTTCGGGTTCCATGAAATGCTGGGAAATTCTTTAGTAGCTGCAGAATTGGCGGCTCCTCAAGAAGGGCTTAGCTCCATGAGTAAGTAAGATCCAATCGTTGGGAAACATAAAGTTCACCACACCCATTTCGAGTGCGTCTGACATTGTCGAAGCAATATTACTACAAAATTATGTAGGCTTATATATCACGTGAAGCTAATAGATATGGGAATTTTAAAGTTAGGAAGCTAGGCCTCAATCTCCTTTACTGAGACAAAAGGAAATACTTCAAATGAAGTGAACCGATATCAACTTTCTGGAAAAAAACTCTGTGGCTTTAGTCCGCAAGCGAACTATACCGACAGAGCGACCGCCGCTTGTCGGCGAAATTAGTACCAAATTTTGCGGATAGAGGGTGTCGCGTGGTCAGCGCAACGAATCTCCACGGCCATTAATTTCGGTTTTCTAGACCGGAGCCGCTACTTTTCCATTCAAGTAGCTCCTTAGTTATGCTCACGAGGCTCAGTGAACCCCGTTCCAGACCCACTACTCTCAAGAAAATCTGGTAGCGCCGGGAATAGAACCAGGGACCTCTGGATCTGTAGCCAGGAACTCTGACCACTAGACCATAGAAGCGGCCACTTTTTGGGAAATTAAGGTGAAAAATAAATGTCGCAGTAATGACGAAGACTTCAAAATGTTTCGATTAAATTCCATGCCGTTTAACGATTGAATTTTCGCACATAAAGAGGAACAAAGTCAGCAAATATCGTACAGAACTAAATGCAGCTGTATAAACGTTTAATCTGCAAGCTGAGACCTTATCTCAGTTCCCTTCGTTGGTCACATTTGCTGAAAGATTCTTGCGGTCATGACCATGACACTTGATGTAATTCTGTTATCCTAGCATATCTGTTCTAATTCCGACTGAATGTAGGAAACTGTGATGGACTAGATTTATAACGAGCATAAACAGAATCACCATCGCTCTACATAAACGAAAACTTCGGTGAAAAATCGCTTTCGTATGAATCAAATATATTTCGTTTCGGCAAAACAGAATTCTGAATCAAAACAGAAGTGCTATAAACTGATTCTTTCTCTCCATGTACATATATTCAGTCTTTCTTCTGGTAACATTTTAAACGTCTAACCAAACTCCATTTATATTTAACAGGTAGGCTAATCAGTTGATTTAAATATACTATGTTAGTAAATAAACAAATTGCTCATCAGAACATTTCGAACTGAGAAGTATGATCTAAGTGGATAATTGAGATAATTCTATAACACAAGACTTCTATAATTTTTCTGTCGTTTTGACGACAGATTCAGAAAGGAGGTTTCATGAAGCTGAGGCTGTAAAAACAGAAAATGTACACAGAGCTCCTGAATGGAACACAGGAAAGGAGATCCAAATTAAAGTTACTGAAATCTTAAGAAAAATTTCTGCTAAGGTTGCTGGCTTAAGGAAAAGTTAATCTAAGGTTACTGGTTTAAGGAAAGCTACAGTCATGGTTAGTGGCTTAAGGAAAGCTTCAGGTGAAGTCACCGGCTTAAGGAAATCTTCTGCTAAGGTTCCTGGCTTAAGAACATTTCTGAGAACCGAACCTAGTAAGGTGCCTTCATGTTCGCGGGGTTATACAAGGCATCAAGTACTCCCAAGACTAAGGGGGATAAATCCGGATTCAAATTTTAAATGTCTTATTTCTAATTGTTGGGGCAGTTGGATGTTTCACGAAAGAGGACTGACCCTCTGGTCATTCTCACATTTCGGTACTGTATTTTCGGTTCCTCAATAGTCCCATATAATATACAGATTATAGATTATTATTCCATTCTTCTATATTTACTGTCATGTGCCTAATGTAGAAAAGGAACCATGGTCGTGATACAAAGTACATTTTTAGATTTTAACATAAAAGTGATGTGGTACGTACTGTATCACTCCAGGGGTACGTAGCCTGGGAAGTTCTGAAAACAGATTTTCCTACCTAATTGGCCAAGCGCACGGCAAAAAAGAAAAAAAAAATATGTACAGAATGAGCTATGGGACGGATAACTTCTCACATGAAACGCCTGACCTACAACGCGGTCGCGTAAAGGTACAGAACACACTCTCGTCCACGCCGGAGAGCCCACGTTAAGCTGAACTGCAGCAGCACTTCGCACCGTTGTTTGGTATCGCTAAGCAGGTACCCTTACGTCATAATCTGCATACTGCACGGAAAGAAAAACGTCGACTTACATGCTCCAAAGCTACTAGAACCGGACTCTACTTACCTTTGCGGGTCCATGCTGTCTGGCGATCAATAGCTCACACAGCAACACGCATCACAAACAGCTGAGCCGGCAGACTGACAAGGCAACAATTCCTGACATGCGCCTTGCGTATCGCCTACCAAGCTTCGGTCACCTACGGTGTCTTTCGCTAGCCAGCACTCGTGGAGCTTGCATGGATAACAATTTGCGTAATCAGGTGTAAGGTGGCTTGGTCAGCTGCAGTACTTGTCCGCCCGGCACTCGTGGAGTTCACGCGAATAACCGTACAAATAATATCCAGAGCAACCCCTTCCAGCAAGCCGGGTCAAGTCATTTGTACATTCTTCTTCTTTCTTCTTTCTTCTTTCTTGGCACTACAGCCCCAGTGGGCCTAGGCCCACTTCTCCGTTCATTTGTATATTACTGTATATTAACTGTAGAGCAGGGATAGTGTAGTCAGTATAGCGTCTGGCTACGGGCTGAACGACTGAGGGGTCGGAGTTCTAGTCCCGGTAGGTTCAAGAATTTCCACTTCCCCATTTCGTTCCGACCGGCTGTGGATTACACCCAACCTCTTATCCAGTGGGTATCGGGGGTTCTTTCCCCGGGGACAAAGCGGCCGGGACTTGAATATGATCACTCACCTCCAGCTAGTGCCGAGGTCAAGGAAAATATGGATCTATACCTCCACCCTCCCATACGCTTCATGGTGCGATGTTTAACTAGTTTAGCACAGGGACAACTTCACTTTATCTGCATACTAACTCATTCAGCTGCGCCCGTAGTTCTTTACAACCCCGCCTCATGGAGCCACTATGGTAAATAACAGGAAAAGGTGTGCAATGCCATACCTTTTCGTTTTTGGAACCTTGGTTTAATGACGAGAATAATTCATCGTCTGTTTCAAGAAGCTTTGATGCATCAGTTATCTCTATATGGCTCTAAAGTCCTTTTGTTGGACCTTGGCCGCTTCTGCAGTTTCTTAAGCCTATGCATAGGCAGTAGGACTCCTTGGACTGGGGATCAGCCCGTCGCAAAGCCCCTACCTACACATAGTAAAAGTAAAGTAAAAAAGAAAAGTTATCCCTGTAACAGGCCGTGAAGACCCATAGGGTTGTGAGACGTCGAGGGTCCCACATTATCTAGACAATCGGCTCAAAAATGGCGGTAAGGTTGCCAGCCTTACTCGCCGGCCGCCCTTTACTCCCCAGGAAAACTATTTAAATAATTCCTGGTACCCATTTTTGTTCGAGGCTGAGTCGACCCTAGGGCCATAGTGCGGATGGAAGGATTAGGTCAATTGAAAAAAATCCAATGACCTCCTCAGGATTCGATCCCGCCAGCTTCCAGGTTGTATCATATTGCCTCAACCAACTACGCTACCGCGTGCCCCCATTGCTTTATAGTATATCAAGTAAATGAAGACAGGTCTTAGCGAAAAATGTTAAGAGCACCGAAAGTTTATTTGGGGGTGTTCTGTGGTTGTAAATTAAAAAATTTCCCATTTGTCTAGAGTAAAAACATTTTTCGTAATTGATGTTGAAAGAACGTAACACGTATCCTTCCAAGTAATTCCCGGCTTTCAAAGAAAATTATACCTGCGTGTGTCTAATTGGTTGCTTTATATGATGCAGGGCTGTTTTAAAGTTCCCTCTTCTATATCTAAAAGTGTGTAGTACCCTCCAGCAGCCTAGAGAAATATGTTTATATAGAAAACCAGCGTATACTCTTTTCTTGAGTGTGTGACGCAGAAACAATGACAAGTAATGTTAAGAAGTTATGATATTGTAGGTTGTAGAAAAACGTTGGTCAGTCTTTTGTACATGTTTCATTAGACGTTTAATTTAGCGTGTTAGCGCAGCGATGGCGAGACGCATTGAAGGGGTAGTGCCATATTTTGTTTCGTTATTTTCACAAGCTGCATAAAATGAATGTATTGTCTCGACCATGTAACCCCATTTACGTACTTCAGCTCAGATATTAACACGCGTTAAGAAATGTTGACCTAGACGCAGAGTAAGAATTACGGTGATATTGTTTTGATATTGCCGATGAAGAAGGTAAAGCCAACCCTCTAACAGGCCTTGGAGGCCGGTAGGATTTTAAGACGTCGAGGTTCCCACATTTTCTAGACAATCGGCTCACAGATGACGGTGAGGTTGTCAGCCTTTACCGCCGGCAGCCCTATATACCCCAGTAAGATTCCTGTCATTCATTTCTGTTAGAGGCTATACCGACCCCAGAGCCATAGTGCGGCTGGAAGGATTAAGTCAATTGAAAAATTGAATGACCTAATCGGGACTCGAACCCGCTACGTGCCGGCTTGTAGCATAGTGTCTAAACCAACTACGCTACCGCGTACCCCGATAATGACTCTAGGTTGTCAACGCGTGAATGTGAGCTTTAATGCTGTCTTAGCGACAAACATCACGACGGAGCAGCAAGAACCTCTAGTACAAAGTTTAATCAATATCAGTCCATCGATTCTAGAGTTACTGGGGACAAAGCGGCCTCCGTAGTCTAGAGGTAACGTTCCCACCTCATGACTCGTGGTACGCGGGTTCAAAAACCCGGCGGAGGTCGTGGAATTTTTAAGGGCGGAAAAATTCAGGGAACAAGTCCTCCGGGAGGGACTTTAAGCCGTGGGTCCCGTGTCGTAGATTTACGGCACGTAAAAGAACCTCATGTCTCTAGGAGACCTCTGAGCAAAATTAGGCCACGTTTCCCGCCCAAGTAGTTTCCAATTCCTCCGGTAGATGGGGGAAGTATCAGGTACCACTGCCAGAGGATGGGGGACCTCTCTGACAGAAAGGGACTAAAAGTATTAGATACCACTGCCATGTAGAGGGTGGAAACCTTGCTGGCAGAAAGGGACCAGGAACCCCTGCCAGAGGAGGGACGACCTCGCTGACAGAAAGGACTAACTATTAGATACCACTGCCGGTAAGAGGTTGGAACCTCGCTGGCAGAAAGGGGCTGATAGTAAGCACCAGTACCGGTAGGGTATGGAGACAGTAGAAATTAAAGGGGGACGCACAATGGACCAGTAACTGGTCTAAGGGCATGGGGAAACCCATCCCCTCAATACAGAATACAGAATACTGGGGACAACATAGAAATCACGTTAATTTATTAACCTCGAAAACCGTAAGACTTAAGGAAGACTGTAGTGGACATAATACTTGTATATGGGCTTAATGTTTCTTCAATAAGTTTTGCTAGATTAGCGAGTTCCGGTTGAAGTGAGCGCAGAAACACGTTTCTTCATAGATTAGTTAAAAACGTTTTAAATTTGGAGACTATGCAGTGCTATGTATGTGTATAATTTTGTTTCCTTGTAGTTAGGTAAACTTTAGACAATCTTCGGTAATTGTTTTAGGCCTGCGATCACTTATTTAGCTTTCCTCTTTTTAAATACACATAAAAATTCATTCCGTCCATTGTTGTGTCAATTATTCTCTATAACAGATGGAATGACTAGATTTATGGATCCTAAAATATAAGGCTGTTTTCTCTTGTTCCGATCAATGCCACAGGAATTTAATCAGTATTCATAAGGTGATCTATTACTTTTAAACTTTTAAGTGGAAAATTAGCCTCAACAGTATCAGACAGTAAGTTTAACTCATAAGCCTTGTGTATTTTATTATTAATCCCACGTGGCATAATTTTAATAGCCGAATGAAGTATTTTTTCTGCCATCATGAAATATGTTGAGTGTCAGCAAATAAATTGCTGTTCTCATTTCCACCAGTTTAATTCTATCTCTGCCATTTTTTAACTTACACTATGTGTATGTTTGCCACTATTATGTGTAATGTCTTAAAAATTTCTCTTCTTCTTTTTTTCCATAACAATTTAATTTTCCTTTCAAGTGGTGTCTATTTCGTCCCTGAAATATCCGCTAATTTCAATTATTGCTTTGTTTAATCCTAAGCAACAGAATGGCAGAGACAGACCTGAAAAATGACCATACTAATCCCAAAGCCAACCACTGGACATCGTCTTGAGCCAGTTTCGTCCACCTTCGATTCTCACAACTCATCTCCTTTGGACCTACCTTACATGTAAGGACGTTCTTCAAGTTATTGTCTCACAGGATATTCTTCCTCTCGTCCATCCTGCGTCTATTTCGAGCCTACCGCAGCGTAAGTTTCGCTGCACGTCAATAGCATGCAACTACGTAAACAGCAGTTCCGAAACAAGTAAAATTCCATATTGCTCCTCCACTTTCCTTTCTTAGTTCCAAATATTTTTTCTGAGTCTTTGGTTTTAAACAGTTGTAAACTGTCATCTTCCGTCAAAAGAAGAAACTATGTTTCAAGTCCAAACAAAATAATTGGGAAAGACATTGGTTTGTAGGCTATATGCTAGTTTTCAAAATTTTGGAAAGGAGGTGAAAGAATAATAGTTTTCGAATCGAATAATGTAATGCGTTACCGTAATTTGTTCATCAAATCTGTTTATGAATTATTTTACATTTCTTGGTGTAGTCTCCTGATATTTAAACTATCAGGCATTCTGTTTCACAAAATGTTGGGGATTTATTGAGTAGCTGAGCAACGGTTGGTTTTTTATGAACGAGGTAGGAAACTCCATTGCATTGATTCAACAGACTGTAATGTTCAGGGTAGGAAACACACGTGACACATTGAGTGGCTGAGCAACGGTTGGTTTTTTATGAACGAGGTAGGAAACTCCATTGCATTGATTTAACAGATTGTAATGTTCAGGGTAGGAAACACACGTGACACACTGAGCACCGAGGTCAGTACGTAACACGGATTCTTCAGGCGCTGCTATGTGATAGGATTCAGTACATTCCTGAAAGTCAAAATTTATCGATTTTATGAGATTACGAGAATCTGGAAGAAGTGGCAATTGACGAGACATATGAGTTAAGGGAAGGTGCTTCGCATCCGGTTTAGCTTGAAGGGAAGGTGGCTATCTACCCTCGCCAAAGTACATGTAGTACACCAACCAGTGTGGAGGAAAACCTATTCGACTCAAAAAGGAAAGTGCGCAGATGATTTGAAGAGTTTCCGGTTTTCTCAAATCTTTCATCTAATAGCTGTCATACTAATGTCTCGTACTGTTTAAATACACGTAGTTGTACGAGTTAGTAGTCTGTAGATTATATTGTCCCAAATAGGCTGTATGACTTGTGGGTCAGTGGTATCAGCAGAGAGGAGTCATAAACCTTTCGACTGTGGAGCTTGACGGTTAATGGAATCCTTGTACTGCTCAATTAAGAAGGCCACGCAGGTGACTCGGCCTTGTTGATAACTGGATGCAAGGGCTCTGAATGTAGTACAAGGATAAAGCAGGACTGAAGAACTATCTCTCAATTCCGATGAAACGGAACTTACACTGCAATAAGTACAATGAAGTACATGTGCTCCTGGAACCCAGTGTACCATCAGAGCGCTGCGTAATATCGGCTCGGTGAAGTGTCTACCGGTTATCCTGGATGCTAATTTTGAAAGAGTAAGTGAAACAAAGAATCAGTAAGGCTCACTTTTCTTTTTGACCATGCCGCAGGACACTTGGTAAGACCTGTGTTTATGTATGCAGCAGTAGTGTGGTGGCCTAGAGTTCATTTGGCAATGGTCAGAGCCGCCTGCAGAGTCTAATTTGTGCAAGTATGACCGTGTGTGTGAGCATGGCCCCTGTGTTTGTTGTTGAGTTTCTCCTTGGTCTTCCTGCTTTCAGTGGAAGCTGAGGCTAGGACCTCCACAGCTTGCAGGCTTAGCGGTGTAGGTATGTGGTTGGGCAAGCGATCGAACATAGGACATGTCCTGCTAATAGAGTCGGACCCTGTCTTTGAAATTGATCAGGATAACATGATACAAGGGGTTGGTCGTGGTGGAGATTCCGCTGCGTGACATCGGTTATTTCTTTGGCCCACGACTCATCAGCCAGGTGAGCTGATCTGGCACACAGAAGGGCCCGCAATGACTAGAGGGGGTATGTGGGGTGAGACTGAGGAAGTGGTTATTTCTCTCATTTGGTGTACATGATACAATATTCCGAACAAAAATCTTTGGGATTTTAGCCTGTGCAAGGGACTGTATGGAAAGGAACTATAAAGGAGAGAAAAATTATATTTGCTCAGAGAGCCAGGTAGCTTTGCGAGCCCTTGAAGCATCAAGGAAAATGTCGAAGCTGTTCTGGGAAAGTCGAAAAGGAATTTGCGCCTTGTCGAATAGTAAAAATATAATGATTTTCTGGATCGCTGGCCACAGTGGGTTTCAGGGCAATGACGGTACAGAAGCTTTGACCAGGAAGGGATCGAGAAATTAATTTCTCGGTCCCGAACCAGATATTACAGTCTTCTTTTATGCTGGGAGGCTCAAGGCTAGGGAGCGCCTGATTAAGAAGTACTCCGAACACTGCGCTGCCGTACGGGGTGTGAGACAGTCGAACCTCTTCATTGAAGGACCTTCAAAGAAAAAAAAAAAACTGTCTGAGAGGAATACAGGAAATGAACTGGGAAATAGTGTAGACGGGAACAGGATTGCTGACTGGGCAGTGTGCATTGAGACGACACCTATATGCTACAGACCCCTCGTATAAGCTATGTGCAGGAAATATTGACAGTAAGAGTTTTTGTACAGTATACTTTGTCAGTGTCCAGCCAAATGATTTTCGGCTGAACGTGACTGGAGCAACAGGCAAGAGCAGGGCCTCGGTGAATAATTTCTGGCCCAAATATTAAGGAAGGGTTCGTTTGAAAGGCCCTAGTGAGAAAATGGGTTCACAGTGAACACAGTAGTGGTCGCGGTGCTTGAGGCGCCCAGAAGTCCACCTCCACCATGTTTTGTTTTTTTTCATGGAGTGAGACTGATTCCACTTGGAACTGCGGCCACTCTTTGGCCTGTTGTACCAGCCCCAGATGATGATTGTGAAGCAATCGGTGGAATGCGATTAGTCAAGGGAAACCGAAGTACTTGGAGAAAACCTGTCCCAATGCCCCTTTGCCCACCACAAATCCCACATGACCTGACTCGGGGTCGAAGCCGGACCGCCGCGGTGGGAGGCCGGCCCCCTCATGTTAGTACTCAATACTCAATGTTTTGCAGTGTTAAAGAAAATGTTCGAATCACGTTGCAGTACGGAACATATTAAGAAATGAACCTATCTCAATTTACGCAGGCGTGGTGGGCCTCCTGGAAACAGTTCATGGAGTTGCTCATAGGGGCCATATGCAGATAGTCATTTAGTGCCATCTTTTGGGAAAATATTGTAACGGTTGGAACTCCAACTACGTTATTTCCCAATTATGTTGCAAACATTGATAATCTAAAAAAAAAAATAATATCTATATTATAAATTTCCGATGATGTGATAATTATCAAGCTATAACAAACTGTCATCTATGTATGACACATCTACACACTTGTACCGACTTGGTCAGTCCAGTGAGCCGTAGTAAACTGTCAGCCGACAATTTTTCGTAGTAAAAGCACAATATTAACTTCATTAGCCTGACTTATTATTATCAGCGTATTTAGTTATAACGCGAAAAACCGAAATAAATATAGAAGTTACACTTTTAAACCAATCTATGATCGCTTTATAGGTTCATTCACTGTTCCTTTTTGTGCAAAATAATTGTGAATTTCATTTAATTAGATTGGTAGTCATGTTTAAAGGTAACAGGTGTTGAGTAATCGGTGAATAGATGAAAGAAGTGGGTGCGGTGTAGTAGTCATTGTGGTTTAGGAGGGTATATGGTTAATGTGTTTAAGGTTTGTAGGTGTTACGTGTTAACACACTCTGATTCCAACGCTTGTAAGGGTTAAGGTAAATATAAGGCCAGTGTTTATGAAGTGTAATCGGTGCTTGTTCTCTTTCCATCTGTTAATGTGTGAACATTTTATGTGGCCCAGAATGGCGACAGTGATTGTATTTTGATAAAGTTGCAGGAGAATTGCTGAAGAAAACTATGACAAGCCATTTGGAGCAGCAGTTAGCAAGTTTACAACTTGATCATGGAGATCTGCAGGCTAATCGAAAAGTTGGGCCAGCAGTACCACCCAAACCTAAAAAACCACAACCACAAGTAAGTCATGAGAAGTTAGTCATTTAAAAGGTGTTTGTGACCTCTCTGACCGTATGAACTTTAAATATCTCATCCGGATAAGGTGTAGAACTTGGACTGTTTATTCTGGTGTCTAGTTCTTCATTGGTGCTGTGGTAACTCAGGTTATAGTGAATAATTATTATATTTAAGAGTAATGACTATTCAGAAGTTTATTTCATCTACAAGCTAAATTTTTACTTCCTTATTGATTGATTTTAATAAATTGTCCCAGCATTTCATGGATGTTTCTGATCATCTACTGCAGTAAGAGGAAGGCTAACAGTAATATTGTTTAAGGTCTTTCTTACTTCAAATAACGAAACATAATTTTACAGAATTAACGACGAATCAAATAAGGAAGCTACTGTGGTGTGTGAAAAACTTTTAGTGAACCGACATTCTGGGTAATTTTAACTATTTGTAATTATTTTAATTAACTGGAACGTGGCTATCTTGGACAAAGTGAAGTTTTGTGTGTTGGTGATTTCTTTTTCTACTATAAATGCCTCTGATGATGGCTCCGTGGTGAGCCGAAACATGTAAGGCAGGTGCTGACGAGGTGGAAAACTTAAAAAAGTGTCACATTTGACGGAAGGAACTTGATTGTTAAGTAATATTGTTATTTCACTGTCTTGGGAGGAAGATGATGCTAGTAATTCTGTTTTCTTCAGGTTATTAACAAGGTATTGTCTCTGAGGCTGAAGATGCTACACAAATGCCCATTTGTCAGACTACCAAACTAGTAACAGCACTGAATGTTTACAATACCTCTTTCTCCACATCAACCAGTCTGATTGTAGGAGAATTATGTTTTCTCTGTGTCTATGTAACATCCTTTTTCTGAGATTGAATATTCTCCTTTTCACTTTGTCTCAAGTACTCTCAATTTGTCATGGTATTTGTGCAAATTATAAGAATAACCCAATTTTATATCAGTTGCATTCAGTACTCTTTTTTTCTAAAACTGTCTTTGCTAGTACTCTCACACTCTGTTTCAGCCCCAAGGTTGGAACATACAGTGCACTGGCAGACATAAGACTTAAGAAGTTTGCTGGTGTTCATCTGTTGTTCACTAGTGTGATGAATAAAGTTTCTCAGCATGTTTAACTTTTATAATTTTGTTACGGGTAAGGTAAAACTATCCCTGTAACAGGCTGTGGAGGCCCATAGGATTGTGAGATGTCAAGGCACCATTATGATGGGGAATGGTCATGATCTGATGGATTTGATTAAGCAGAGCTATATTAAATGAGTCGATCTGAAGAGTCATGGACTGATAGTGCCTAAACATACAGGAGTTTGCATTTCTGTGTTCAGGGAACAATCATTGGAAGGGGAAGGTGATTCCTTCCTAGCACTTCATTTACTGGACGGTCAGAGACACCATTCACCATGTCAGNACCATTATGATGGGGAATGGTCACAATCTGATGGATTTGATTAAGCAGAGCTATATTAAATGAGTTGATCTGAAGAGTTCTATGTTCAGGGAACAATCATTGGAAGGGGAAGGTGATTCCTTCCCAGCACTTCATTTACTGGACGGTCAGAGACACCATTCACCATGTCAGTATGTGTACCAGCACATAGTCTGAATCTAATGTTACAACCAATGGTCAGTTGGCCAGTCCATCTTGGAATAAAGCACCCATCTGAGGCTTACAACCACATTTTTATTACTGTGAGACAGTTGCGGGTTTGTTGTTGTGGGGCACTCTGTCTGATGGGTCTGTTGTTTACAATTGCTGTTGGCCCTTGCCAGCGAAGTTATTCTTGGGTCCGAATCCTGTAGGACTTGCGACTATATTTTACTGTCTCAGATTCAAGACTTCCCTTTTCATGGCCTCCTACAACTTGCCGGGCTACGGTGGAAGCATTTGAACCATCCTTCACATGAGAGGGCACATACTGGCTGAAAAAGAAGCACTGGTGGCTTAATGTTTTTATTTTTAGCTCTGTTTTCATTTATCAGTTGAATTGATATTGTCTGTTATTTCAGGTTCCAAAGAGTTACTCTTTAAATAACCAGTGTGAACCATCATATAGCACCTTGCTGCAGAGTGGCTCAGGGGCAAATGGCCAGGTTTCACCTGATAAGGGTCAGCTGTATACAAACTTGCCACCTCCGGCAATCTCAGGTAATAAAATTAGAGCTCTGTTAAACATTACACAATTCTGCTTTACCCTTTCAAGATGAAAAAACTTTTCCCTCCTTTGGTGGATCTTATATGCCAGTGGAAGCACAGGGAACTGCTTATGTCCCAGGTCATGTTTGAAAGCTTGACATTAATTTCTCAGATTGTTTCTTGCCACATGACTGTAGCTGATGACTCTGTAGTTAACTGAATTATAAATAAATTAAGTAGCATTTTAGTACTTAGGAGAACAGGTTTCTCTACACAGAGGATAGTGTTCCAGAACATAGAGTATCTCTCGTGCATTACTAGACATGTTATAAGAGGGGCACAGATAATATTAACTAATCCTGCTAAGTACAGTGCATGTTATGCTAGGTTAGAGAATGCACATTGCACTGTGTACTGTTGCAAAGTGGTTGGCTGGGGCATGTAGACAAGTAACAATTTTCCTGGGTGTGAATGTCCTAATGCAAACAATTTCTTGTCCTACTCAAACTGTATTTGACATGCTGTGTCACAAATTTTAAGCAGCTGGTTAATTTATGAACAGCCACACAAATATTAATAACTGTGGTTAAGATGTAGCTAGTTTAAACTTTAATAATCTGTGGAGAATAATGTTTTCTCATTGTTACATATGCTTGGGTCTTCAAGTAGAAAGGTCATTTGGGATGCCTGAGCATAGTTGGGAGGGTTATGCTGAAAGTGAAACAGGATGTAAAGATGTGAACTTGATGGAAATGGTTCAGGAAACAGCTCCGTGATGGGCCGTTGTGAGCACAGTGATGATGAATCTGTGGTTCAGAAGCAACAGAAAATTTCATCATTATCTGAATAACATATCATATGCTTAACAGAGACTGTATGATGGGATTAATTGTTTGGTTAGTTTGGTTATCCATGTACTTTATTGAAAAATACTGTCAGCTTTATCCACAGAGCCACAGAGGTAACATATACAGGATTTGCACTTGGACTGCAAAGGTGCAGATACAGACATACCTTATTTACAGACTTTTTTTTTTGTCTACATGATGTCCATTCTTTTTCCATGGCTTTATTTCTCCTGAAATTAAGGGCTTATATTCCTTGTCTGTAGCAGTTTTCTGGGATCTGTTGGAGGCATGTTTTCACTTCTGAAATAATCTCACCATCATCTCTAAATTTTCATCCATGAGTAGCATTCTTCAGTGGGCTAAAAAGGTGGTAGTGTGATAGGGTCAGATCTGGGTTGTGTGGTGTTTGGGGCACCATCGTCAACCCCCTTTTGATGATTTCTGTTGTTTGCTGACTGGTGTGTGTTCTTGTGTAGGAGAAGGACATTTTCTATTTTGCTGTCAGTGTATGTGACTGCAGAGCAGTGACATATGCATCAGATTGGTGGTGGTTCCTTTCACCATATTGTCCGCCAGAGTCATCCAGTGTCAGGGTTGGAGGTGGGTAATTGTATGGCTCATCATGAAGGCTGGTGTACCGTTGTTTGAGTCATGTCACACACTTCAGCAAGAATTCATTTCTTCTTCTGTTGACAGTACCATCTCTGTCAGTGTTTCTCAGATGTTTTTTAATGTTTCTTGCTGAATCATCCTCAACTGTTAAGAACTCTGTGATATGTCTTTGTTTACGGTGAGTTTTGCTATGAAATGACATTTTGATTACACCATAGACATCTGGTAGAAAATTCTGGAACTTTGTTATCCAAGGCAGGATTGGTCAGAAATACTGTGCATTGAATTTCACCTCTTTTTGATAATTTACTGCAGAGAAAAGAAACGTGGGGCAACATTTTCTGAGCTACCCTCATATTATAAAAATCATCATATTTAGTATTATAATCCTCAGTTATTAATAATGTAGAAATATGCTTATCAAACATACTGGGGCTCCCTGAAGATGACAATGAATTGTTGAAACATGTCACTGCAATGATGGACTAGAATATGGATAACATTTCTTTATACATTGTATGGACAGATTATTATAAGTAGTTTATCATTGGTGAAGGCTAGTATGATATACACAAAGCTTTGTCTTGTGTCTTTCAGTGACTCATTAACTATGAGGCTTGTGTCATCTTTCACTGACTCATTGGCTTTGTGACTTGTTTCTTCCATTGATGACTCATTACTACATAACAACTTGGTAACTTTGGCAGTAGAACCAGAGGCTCTGACACAACTGGTACTAAATCACCACTGAAAATGTTTTGCCACCCATTCACACCCCCATAAGCAGTTTTTCTAAGATTCATCAGGTACACCTAACCTTCCTTTCCTCCTATTCTCATTACACTTCTTCCTTCCCTTCTTGATCTTCCAAGAGACTTCCAACAGAATTCTGTGTGACTTGTTTTCACTCATCCAAGTTATGTGTGTAGCCAATTTTGAAGTCTCATTTTACGTATGCACACCTTATTCTGTGTTTTTGTTTTCCATGTATTGTTTGTCATCTTTTGACAGATTACAGTAATTAAGTGGGGCTCCCAGTTACCTAGAATCCAATTGGATAAAATGATGGCAGGGGTCATAACGACAGTTATGTGAGGCAGATGTAAGGTGTTAATGAAGAGTCAAACACTAAACATTGAAACATAATGACAGGGAGGCTGGATGCAGGTTAACAAATGACATTCATTCATTCATTCATTCATTTATTGTATATTCCATAAATCCATATACATAGATATAGAACCAGTCACATAGTTAATATAGTACAATACAATTATAAATATATATGTACAGCTTATAATCATTATAATAGATAAAAAAAATGTGTTAAATTTACAGTCTTACATCACTATACATAAAATTATGCAATATTAAAATTGTTCATGTTATTATTTTGATTGTTGTTATGAGTGTGTTAAGGTTAATTTTCGCCATTTGCTGCACATAACACAGTAGAATGGACGGGGTTTAGAGTTTAGTGTTAGGCTGATTCCCACAATTGATGCAGCACTCAAACAGACCAGCTGTGGTAGCTTATATTTTATGACCTGCTTTTCTGCTGTAGCTTAACTTAACCTTATTTTATAGGAGAGTCTTGAAGTGATGACTCTCTGTTGCTAAGCATGCCGTGCAGCATTAGAATGTGTTTCTAGACACAGAGTGCTGCTGAATGAGAATACTGGAAATTTTCTTGAAGCTCTTCCAAAAAGTGTAGATTGTTCATATACACTTTTTCTGTTAGTGTGTCCCTCACATAAACTGGGTGATTGCAGAGGCCAGAGTTCTTGACTTATGACTCATGTACTAAAGACTCCATCTAATGCATCCATAGAATTGTTCGTAGTATGTAGCATTGTATCATCTTGCACAAAATGAACGTACAGTACTTCATCAGTCAATTGATGGAAGAAGGATGGCAGAATCATTTTCGCATAATGTTCAGAATTTGTTTCATACGAAAGCATGTGCCCAGTTATCCTTGACATACAAATTTAACATGAAATCCCAACTTTAAATTGTGCAGTGGCATTTAATGAACAGCATAAGGATTTCTGATAATTCAGTATTTTGGCTGTTTATGCAACCACTTCAAGTGAGCCATGCCATATCTGAATAAGGCATAAATTCTGATTCAAGACGTTTAATACTGATTCCTGAAACAATCTACAGTATTAGGTTCTTGCTTCACCATGTGGAAGCAAAAGGCTATGTACTGATGTGATTTTATAAAGCTGTAACTTAACAGTTTTGTATCAACATGAGCTGTACATTCTTCTAACCCACAGTGAAGAGCTAAAAGATATAACATCTTCTTCAGTATGCTTCTAATTGAATACCAGTCTCATCAAGTTTTCATTGAATCAGTACATGTCTTTTTCAAGATTTCTTTTAGTTTAGCACTGATCGTGTAGAATCAGGGCTTGAGTTGGGGCGGGATGCAGCGGGATGGCATCCCGGTTCTTTTCTAAATGGCTTAAAAGCATCCCGTTACTTCTTTGGCAGTAAATGCAATGTACAATACCCAGGGCTTGAGGTGGGGCGGGATGCGGCGGGATGGCATCCCAGTTCTATTTTCATTCCACCTCAAGCACTGTGTAGAATGTAATTTCATTATAGTATTGAAAATTGTTGCTTTATCATCATTGTACAATCAGGATTCTTCCTGCAAAACATTCTATGGCATTTCCTCCATGAAGAACAATGTACAAAGTTTACTGTGTCTGAATAATTTCTGTTCAACACTACATTTTATTTTTGAACACTATTTCACAACACTGTGAACTGTATTTGTATACATATCAAGGATGAGGGACCATGCTAAACATCAGCCCTGTTGAGATAATCTCACGAGCATTGGGTGCTGAAACAATGGTTCAGCAGCCAGCAACGTACAGTGGTGAGTTAACAGATTCGTACCTGGTCAGTCTACAAATAAACTGGACAAAGTGATTGTCGAAAGCAGTCTTCTGGGATTTGGCACTGTGTATATGTGGTGTTAACTGACGTTTCGGAGGAACGTCGGTTAACACCACATATACACGGTGCCAAATCCCAGAAGACTGCTTTCTTCATAGTCACCGCCGTGAAAGCCTCAAATTTTACAAAGTGAATGTCCTCTGCTACTCCTAATGTATTAATATATGCTGTGGAAAGGGCATTTAAGTTAACTGGTCTACCAGGATACACTGAATGTAAATAATATGGCAGAATAAAAGGAAATGAGTTGTGAGGATATGAGGATTCAGTGGTGGATGTATATGGGTTCTGTAGCAATACATACTTTCTTTTAACAGTTGTATCTTTATTAATTGTCCAGGAAATATCCTGCAACAGCCAGTTTCTTGGTTGTCAAATAATGAAGATTAAAATTGAATGCATACAATATGAATACAATCAACAGTACTCATGTTTACCTTGTCATAAAGTAATTGTGTTAAAAGAATTAGCTTATTCATGTTAAGTTACCCTGTTACGTTCTATTGGATGTTAGTAAGTTGTAGAGTAAACACAGAAGAAACTAAGTGTATTTTCATGCTTCAGTGGTTAGATGCAGACCAAACCATAATATAAAGACAAATGATAAATGCTTTGAAAATGTGGCAGAGTTCAGGTACTGTGAAATGACAGTAGCAAATCAAAATTATATTCATGATTTAATTACTCCAATAAATACAGTCTGAAGGTGTTCAAGAACGAAGTGGCAAGGAAGATATGTGAATCTAATGAAGCAAAGTAAGAGAGCACCATAGAGAAAATTGCATAGTTAGGAGCTTTCTGATGTATTCTGATCACCTGATCTCCTGATCATCTTATGGTGATTAAATAAAGATGGCTGAAGTGGGTGGGACAGTTAGGATGCATGGATAAATGAGAAATGTTCACATACATTTGGTTTAAAAACCTCAAGGTAAGACAACCCTTGGGAATATAATATTAAATTAAATTAAATTAAAAAAATTATATAAAAGTAACGTGTTCAGGTGTCCAATTGGCATGGTTCAGGGTAGGGTCCAGTGGCAGGATTTTTGTAATATGGTAATGGAAATTCAAAGGTTGGAATTTCTTGGGTAGCCAAACATTTATAAGGTTTTGAAGAAACACTGTCATTATTTAAAGAGCTATCCCATTAGTATCTGAAAGCAAAAATTCATTTCGTGGAACTAGCAATTATCATGTGATGTTTTACTCTTGTAGGAGCTGTGAATCATTCTGTCAGTGCCATGTCACCAACTGCAACCTATAGCAACATTCAACCACCAGATGGCTCTGAATCTCGCCTCATCTATAGCAATATAGGAAACCATGCTAACAGTGAACTTGGCAATACTTATAGCAATGTAGGAGCATTCAGTACAGCCAGCAGCATTGGTAAGTTCTGATTCTCTGATGTATTTGAGTATGCTGTAACATTATACTAATGAGGTTCAAACAGAAACTTGCCTAGGCAATTACCAGAGGTCCAGATGTTCCAGTCCCACAGTTCTATAAGCACTGAGGTACTAATTCCACTGTCACTGAACACTAGATGCCTTTCTACAGGTTGCCAAACCAATTATATAAGTGTGCTGCATTGTAGCATTTGACTGCAATAAGTAGTCATTGACCATCTTGTTTAATTTGAGGTATTTGCAGTAGTAAGTATGAAGAGTAGTAACTTCTGGGTTGTAATGTCATGTATTTTGGTGGAAGTCCACTGACAGTTTTTTTTTTTCCTTGGCACTACAGCCCCAGTGGGCCTAGGCCTACCTCCATGAGCTTCTCTGTTCACTTCGGTTTTTTTCTAGATCTTACACATACAGTAGGACTCCTTGGGCAAGTGATCAGCTCGTCACAAGGCCTCTACCTGTAGACAAACACATAAAAATCCAAACAAACATCCACGCCCTGAGTGAGATTCAAACCGACGATCCCGGCTTCTGAGCGAGCGAAGACAGTGCATGCCTTAGACTGCTCGGCTACCGTGACCGGCCCACTGACAGTTTAGAGGAATATATTGTCTTCATCTTCAGACTCAATGAGTAAGCTAGGCAGTAAACCATCAATGAGCAGGTGACAAGTAGAGCAAACCATGCATAGAAAACTCAGCTTGGTATAGGTCAAAGAGGGAACTGTGGGAGAGCCAATGACAGGGTGACCATTGTCTGTTAGAATGGCTCAAAAAGAACTAATAGGAAGAATGGAAAAAATAAAGGAAAAAGTAACTTGGTCTGGCCCTCAGTTTAATAAGTGAAATGAGCAGTTGTGAGAGAAGTCATCCTTATGTCCAGGCAAGGGGCTGTGCAGGAGGATTGCAAGAGCAAGAGCTGCTGCAAAGAGACTGCAAGGTAAATTAGGAGGATGAGTGCCCTGAAAAGGCAAAGTCCATGCACAGAAAAAGGAAGTGCATACTGGCATAGCAGCATGGAGAATCCCATGAAAAGAATCCTGTGAAGCAGATCTGCCTTCTTTTAGGGAGGTGAGGTTTACATGACTTACATAAGAGGAACCTTGCTCTCTGCTACTGCTGTTGAGATGGATCTCAGTCTGAGTCATCTCCTTAAAGATATGGTCCATGTACATTTTTTTGTGTTAGAATATTGGCTGTGCCCTGCCATAACTGATTTGGTGACATGCTCAAGATGTATGTGTTGGTTGTGCTTCTTAACCCTGGTGTCAACTGAGTGGGCTGCCTGCTCTTTGTAGACTTGACCACATTCATAGGGGGTTTCTTCAGTCCTGTCATTCTTGACTGGCTGTAGGAATCTGGAGATTTTCCTTGGCGGGAGGCCAACAGACTTTATGTTATGCCAGGACAGCATCCTGCTAATGCGGGTGCTCACTTAGGGCAGGAAAGTGACCACATTAGGATCATCGTTGGGTTGAGCATCTCTCAGAAGAGGATTGAGAGCTCTGTGAACCTACCGCTTGATACAGTTATTCTGCCTTAATGTGACCTTGAGAAACTTCAGTTCCTCATGCAGACTGACCTGGTTGCACAGATCTTTGGCCCTGTGCAACAAGATGGGAGATATGGTATGCTTACTGGATGGCTTCTCCTTCTACTCATGGTTTTCCTTAGCTGCTGCTTCACAGAGGCTTCTGCCTTCACATTCCTTGGGCTTTTTTGCTGCCTCTTGCTCTTGGTACCCCTGCCTCGCCTCTTGCCTTGATATACATGCTACTTGTGTCAGTTTCATTTGCTAAATTGATGGCCTTCCAAATGGTCAAACTGAGTTGCTTTTTCCCCCCTCCTCCTTTTCCTTTGCTCTTGTTGGTTCTCTCTGCACCCTCTTGCAAACAGTGGTCCTGTTGTTTTTGTCTCTCATGATACCCTTCTTGCCAGTATTAGGCTGTATTTTTTGCACATATATATTTTTTTTCTTGGGGTGGAGTGGAGTCCACTTGGTCCCCACTAATTGGCCTGTTTTATCAGTCCTTGATGTAGATAATGATGAATGTGGAGCAGTCAGTGGAATGAGAATTGACAGGGGAAACTGATGTACTTGGGGAAAACCTGCCCCAGTACCACTTTGTTTACCACAAATCCCACATGACCTGATCTGGGCTTGCCCCTGGGCTGCCGCGGTGGGAAGTTTGTGACTAGCCGCCTGAGCTATGGCATGACCATTTGCCCATGGTTTACTCTGTTTGCTGCCTACTTATTGCTGATGTCTTGCTTGGCATACTCTTTGTCCCTGTATATGGAGGCAGTGCATTCATCTGAAATGATGGTGGTATTGTACTGATTTACAAAGCATTATAACCCAGAAGATGGTGCTCTTCATTGAATATCTTCTTCAAAGGTCATAAAATTAGCATGTAGAGTGGTCCTGACAGCACAGAGAATGACCTAACATCGTCAGTGAATGGTGTGCTGCCAATGAACATTGATTTTCAATAAATATGCAGGTTCATTTACATTGAGCCTATATTTCACCAGTGAAACAAAAATGTCATTTTATTGCTTGCACATTTAACTAGAAAGATGTGAGTTCTTGCAAAATATGTATATTATGGAATAATTTTACTACTCTCTGGTTTTTAACTTTTCATATTGATGTTGACACATTAAGTATTTTAGAGTGTAGTACTGTTTTTAATTTGGGAAAACTTCTGCCCTGAAAATAAAGGCATTTAATTTCTATAATATAATGAAAATTTCTCCAAAAAATATTAAAGTTTATTCAGCTTTGTACTAGGAGTTGTTCTGACCTCACACGATCTCATACGTGACCTTGCTGAATCTCATTTTCCTTTTGAGTTACTTTTCATTAAACTCATGGCACCCTTTGCTCAATCATTGTTTCCAAATGTTGGAGCCTTTTCCCTTAATAAATAACACTCTGTTCAAGAATGGCCTGTAGACTTGTTCTAAAAATTGGCATGTATGAAACTCTGCTATTCTTGACATAGTACTCAGAATTCAGCACTTTGATCATTTGAAAGTATGCGTGTTTTGCTTCATGACGTGATTAATTTTTCCGCAAATGAATACTACCTACATGAAAGTTAGAAAAATAAAAAAATATTTTCAAAATATTAATTTTTTTATTGCTGGTTGAGTAGTTAGCAGTTCGGGTTTATATTTGTAAGACCATTCTCACACTGGATGCCTGATTTCCTTGAGGTGAATTCTGGGATAATGAAATAGGTGACTACCACTCTTACATCCTCCTAAATTTATCATTCACTCTCATTCCTCCATTTGATGCTGTAGAACTTTGGCAGTGAAAGAAGTGTTGTTAAGTACAAAATAAAACTGATTAAATTTCAGGTGTTTTCATGTAAATGCTTTTTCCACATTTTGCTTTTTATAAATATGTTATGCAATTATGTCAATTACAGGAGCTCTGGAGGATCTACCCCCACCCCCACCAGAACCTGCTGATTACAGCAACCAGTGCCCAGCCCCAAACTTTCCCCCACCTCCAGATGATCTTCCTCCGCCACCTTCGCCAGTTAGCTCAAGTTATTCAGAACTTCGGCGAGCCACCTACCAACCCAATTACCAACCAGAATATGGCACATATGGACCTTCTTCGCAGGTAAACTTTATAGCAAACGTTTTTGTCAGCACACTCAGACTTGTCTGTAATTTGTCAGCCCATTACTTTAGTTCAGCTGTTTTTTATCTGAGAAGCATGTTTCCATGTTTTAGTGAGTTTTTGTTCTTACACAGTACCTTTCCCTTCTTTATTAGTACTGTACTTTAAGAGTCATGCCATAATTTTCAAGAACAAATATTGTATTCTGCAACATGTCAGATGATGGTCATTTAATAAAGAAAGAGTTAACATTACAAGTTTCATACCATGTGTAGACATGTGTTTCATCCACATCTTCATGTCAGTCATTCATTCTCATTAGGCTTCATACAGTATACCTCTAAATGAGATCAGACTTTTGAACAGTCATAGCTGTACAGTGAATAGCACTATAAATGTGAGACAAGCATTAAGACAGCTAGGAGAGCAGAGGAGAGTGTTTCCCAAGATGTCACACTCATGCTACTACTGATATTGAGGGATAATCAAATTGCCAGGAAGATTTGAATATGCATTTATGTAAAGTGTTTGGCTGGTTGCAGGGAGGTAGGTGTGGTCAGTGACTTAGTTCTCAAAAATCGGTATAAGGAAATCTGTCTTTGAAAGTAAAATGTGAATAAATAAGAACCCAGAATAAGTAGTTTGTTATGGTAGAGAATTTTGTCAGTGAGAGTATTGTATGATTCACAAGCCTGATGTGCTGAGCATGTCAAATAATACAAGAGTTAAGGAAATTGTATTTTGTATCTATTTCTGCTCCACAGAGTTCCATGTATGAATCGATATACGAGCCAATCAATCCAAGGCCACCCAGTCAGATGTCGTCCCGGTCTAACTACTCCCTCTATGCACCATATGTCAGTGGGTCACAGAACAAATCCTCTGGAAATACACAACCCCCGAGCGGGGGAAAGGAAGCAGAAGTTGATGCTCTGACTGACCTCCTGGTTCAGTCAATGGATGGATCTGCAGATTCTGATGTATATGGTATGCTGGGAAGTTGATGACTAGTCCTGTTTATAGACGTTGAAATATATGACAGTTTATTTTAGGGTTTCGTGGTGATTTGCTCTGAAGGTGGGGACAGTAAGGATGTCTGAAAAATGGCAATGCTACCCATGTCTGCAAGCTGCCATCATCTAGAAACATGACCAATATCAGACTCTGTGGCCTCCATCTTGCCCATGACACTTATGCATGTGTAAAATTACTGTGTGTGTCAAACTTTCCTGTGAAAGGGCATAAAGTTAATGCATTATGATAACACATGTCCAGTTTATCACTATATATATAACTGACAGTGAATGTGCTGCCAGTTATTTGAATGAGATGTGATTGTATGTTTCTGAAGGACATATTTACTTACGATTTGTAAATTTCACAAATAGCATTTGTGTCTGTGTTACCTACATTTACTCCTAAAATAATTTTGAAGTTCAAGGACTGCTGGTAAGATTAAGTGCGGAAATTATTATGCTGTTGCTAGCAGGTGTGACAAATAATGCTTATAGTTAAGGGTGATGGTTAAGAAATAGGACTTCACCAGTTCATAGGATTGGCAGAATTTCAAGTGAAAAGCACCACACCCATTATTTTGAGGAGAAGGCGTCTGGAGAGAAAGGTGTTTTTTTGTAGGATCATAGTACTTCAGACTGGAACAAAACTAAAG